GGAAGCCTGCCATCTAACGTCTCTCTCTCTCTCTGTGTTTGTCACAGGTTCCCGTGCTGCAGTATCTCTACTACCTGGCGCAGGTGGGCCTGGCGATGTCTCGTTACGATGCCTCCCCCTCCCCCGCGCGCGCGGCGGAGGTGAAGGAAGCCTGCCATCTAACGTCTCTCTCTGTGTGTGTGTGTGATACAGGTTCCCGTGCTGCAGTACCTCTACTACCTGGCGCAGGTGGGCCTGGCGATGTCTCGTTACGATGCCCCGCGCGCGCGGCGGTGAAGGAAGCCTGCCATCTAACGTCTCTCTCTCTCTCTCTCTGTGTGTGATACAGGTTCCCGTGCTGCAGTACCTCTACTACCTGGCGCAGGTGGGCCTGGCAATGTCACCGCTCAGCAACAACTCTCTGTTCCTTAACTACAACCGCAACCCGCTGCCGGAGTATCTCGCACGCGGCCTCAACGTATCGCTGTCCACCGATGACCCACTACAGTTCCACTTCACCAAGGTATGATGGGGGAGGAGGGGAGGAGGTGAAGGAGGAGGGGGAGAAGGAGGAGAGGAGGAGGAGGAGAGCAGGAGAAGGGGCAGGGGAGGAGTATGACCCACTACAGTTCCACTTCACCAAGATATGAGGAGGAGAGGAGGAGGGGGAGGAGGAGGAGGAGGGGGAGGAGAAGGAGGAGAGCAGGAGAAGGGGCGGGGGAGGAGTATGAGGTGTACCTAGCACGCGGCCTCAACGTATCGCTGTCCACCGATGACCCACTACAGTTTCACCTCACCAAGGTTGGGAGGAGGAGGAGGGGAAGGCGGAGGAGGAGGAGAGGGGGGAGGGGATGAGGAGGAGGAGGAGGTGGAAGGGAGGAGGAGAAGAAGGGAGAGGATGAGAAGGAGAATGGAGAGTTGGAGGTGAAGAAAGGAGACAAATGGAGGAGGAGGAGGAAAAGGGAGAGGAGAAGGGGGAGAGTTCACCTTGGTAATGGTCATCGCTACAGCTACAGTCATTACCATAGCGATACTCGTCACCGTGTCGATGGTCGTCACCATGGCGACGGTCGTATCCCAGGTGATTGTCATCGCTCGCCTCTGTGTCTGTCGTTGCAGGAGCCGCTGATGGAGGAGTACAGCATCGCAGCGCAGGTGTGGAAGCTCAGCTCGGCAGACATGTGCGAGCTGGCGCGTAACAGCGTCATGATGAGTGGCTTCAGCAGAGAGGTGAGCAGCAGCAAGGGGCTAAATCAGGGTTCGTAGCGGGTTTCCCAAAGTCTTATAAGTACTTATTTTGCCAAAAATAAAATAAGGGCCCTTATTAGTACTTATTTTTGGTGAAATCTTAGAAAAGTACTTAATAGTCCTTATTTTTTGCCAAAGATCTCGACTTAGAGTAAGAATTGTTGTATATATAATACGGAATAATTAAATTGCTGTGCAATTGTGTATATAAATATTATTAGTGTACTTTAATAGTCGGTGATCTATCACTATCTGAAATCGCGTAAAAAAGTCTTATTTTGGCCTCCAGAAAGGGTATTATAAGTCCTTATTTCAACATGTGTCTTACTACTATGAACCCTGTAAATATAACAAGGAGAGGAAGCGGATTGGCTGTGTGCTTTTCGCCTCAAGGGCGCCATCTATGGACCATAATCAGCTGAAACGGCTGTGCAGACCCGAACCCAGAGACAATAGAACACTAATCTGTTCTAGGGTCTCTGCCGAACCCAAATTTGGGCCAGATATGGCTGGCGCTTCCTCTCCTTGTTAGATTTAGCTCCTTGAGTAGCAGCAGTGTCGCGAGCGAGAGCGCTGTCATCCTTGTACCTGTCCACTTACTTACTCACGTTACCTTGCCTTATTCACCTAGTGCTATACCTTCGAAAATGTCTATTATGGACTTTTGATACTTGTGCCCTGTACCCCGCACACTCACCCTCACCCTCTACCCACACTCTACCCGCGCCCTCATCTTCACTCCCAACCCGTCTGTATCGCACAGCGATGGTTGTGTGTGTGCGTGCGTGCGTGCGTGCGTGCGTGCGTGCGTGCGTGCGTGCGTGCGTGCGTGCGTGCGTGTATTACATCTGTGTCTTACATGTCTGTGTGTGTGTGTGTTGGGTACAGGTGAAGCAGCACTGGCTGGGAGAGAACTACTTCCTCGTTACACCTGGTACTTTAGTAACACCTCTCACATATGAGCCTTGTTACCAGGTAATCTTTCCACACAGGTGTTCCTCGTTACACCTGTCACCATCGTCACACCTGTTGTCCTTGCCACACCTGACACCTTCGACACACCTGTCGCATTACCTGAAGCCTCGTCAGCAGGTGAGGAGCATCACTCTGCGCCAGACTGCGACACACTGCCAGCGTCACGTGAAACCAGCGATTGAGAGAGCGAGAGAGTGCGCGCGTGCGATGCCTCGCTCGCTCGCTGATGATTCTCCCCCCTCTGTTTGCCATCTCGTTGGGCTGTGCTGCAATATGCTTAAATTTAAAGGTCAGAGCAACCCCTGGCGTCGGAGGGAGGCAAGAGGAAGGACCCGATCACTCCCATCGAGGGGTGGGTGGGGCGGAGGGGCAGGGGTGATTCCAAATTTCTCGAAGTTTCGTTGTAGGCGATTGCTCGTGGGGACTTGCGGGTGTTAGGGACTTTGTGGTCGCGATCGTGGTGACAATTCGTGACGGTCGTGTTCACTGGGTTTCGTCACATTCGTCGTTCATTTACCGGTGCCAGTGGTCAAGCAGAAAGTGTTCGACATCTGAACAGTGAACCTGAATCGTAGTTAATCACGTTAGTGAGTTTGAAGCCAGTTAGTCACGACACGGTGTACCTTTGGGGTATGAAAAATTGGGGGGGGGACGATTTTCCTACGTGGGCAGTCGGATAGCGCAAGCAAACACCCCCCGAACTACTGTACCCTGTACCTTCTACTTCCGCGACGCCTGCACTCCAAACCCGCACCTGACCCCCCTACACCCTCTGTCCCTGCACGCCCAAACTCCACCCTGCACCTCTCCACGCCTCCATCCTCCCATCCCCGCACCCTGCACCCTCTCCACCACTGCCAACCCAAACCGCCTCCACCTGGCCATCTTATCCTCTCGACCCTCCATCCTCCATCCCCGACCCTGCACCCTCTCCACCCCGCACTCCAACCCCTCCACCCCGCATCTTATCCTCTCACCCTCCATCCTCCATCCCTATCCCTGCACCCTCTCCACCCCACACCTCCAATCCTAACCTGCCACTCTCTCACGCCCACACCTCCACCCTTCACCCGCTCCACGCTGTACCCTCGAGCCCGAACCCCCACCCCACCCCCCCGCACAGGGCCCCGTTCCGTCGTTTCACCCTTTGCCACGGTAACCTTTTCACTGTTTGCCTGGTCCACTTGACAGAGTGAGTGCCACCACTCTCACTATTGTTGGGCTTGATTAACATGAGATCTGGACACCTGGCCGCTCGCGTCCACACCGTACCTGCTCGTGTCCTTACCAGATCTAATGAAATATCAGCGATTGATATTTCAATATATTTCAATGATATTTCAATGATAATTCGATTATCATTAATCAGATCTAATGAAATATCAGAAATGAAAGATCAGTGATTACGTCACGCGTAAATCTAGTTAAAAGTTAAATAAAAGGAGATGATTTCCACTTTATTCACAAAGATCATAAGTTAATTCTGGCGTCACTTTTTTATGGTTAAATGTGCTTGCCATTATACTTGCTTATTTTACTAGTATTGTTCGGATGTGAACAGAGTACACTCGCTGACTCATAGATAGCCACAGCCAAGCAATTAATGGTTAGGAACACGTAATATTGTTCGTGACGCTAGTCAATTTAATTAGCTGCCTTAAGTAAACAGTTTGTTCTGCCAGCCTGTTGACAGCGCGTACTTCGATTGCGGCTGTGTTACAAAGTTAAACCGCTGAGTGTACTCGTGTCGTGCCGCATGTAGGTTGTGTGTGTGTTTGAGAGCCTAAAACAACTTGCGTGACGATGCATTGCAAGCCATAAAATTACTGCACGAGTACTTAAGTGAGACTCGTGTTTGCCCATTCTAATGTGACCTATATGCTATTTATTTATTTATCGTATGTATATACATATTTACTCATTATTATATCGCCTGCATCAAGACCCTCCGTAATAACCTGATTATAATAATATTCCATTTTTTTCGTATGTGTTTGTTATTTTAAGTATATCTTATTTATTTATTTAATTGGCAGTAGAACCTATTGTAACTCGCACGATCGACGTTGCGTCCAAAAAAATCGTCCCCGCAAAAATTGAGTTGCGAAGTTTGCTTCCCCCTCTCACAGGACAGTTCGTGGTTTGACCTTTCGCAGAAGTGTACGGCTCCGACCTCTGAGGAGAGCAAGTACCAGAACGCCGGAGCCGCGACTGTCCCCCCCATCTACGGTTAACGGCCGCCGTCGATGGATGAGTGGCAACAAGTGGCGAGGTGGGCCATCAAGTTGGAAGGTCTATTCTCCCAACGTAGGCTGGCTGGATACAGCATTACGAGGCTTTATGTGATTCTGATGTTCATATGTCGATGTGTGTGTCTTTGCACTGTTTATATTGCTGCCAGGAAAGATAGAGTAAGAAGAGCAGGGGGGACTGAGAATACGATAAGATATGCATATGCTTACCTATACATATACATATATCATATACATATGCATGTACATATACATATACATATTATATAGTATACATATACAATACTACGTGTACCATACATATACGCGTAACATATACATATACGCTATATATACATATACACGTACACTCATACATATACACGCTACACCCATACATATACACGTACATCATTACATATACCGTACACCATACATATACACATACATATACACATAACATATACACGCTTACACATACATATACACGATACATATACATATACACGTACACATACATATACACGATACATATACATATACACGCTACACATACATATACACGCTACACATACATATACACGTTACACATACATATACACGTACCAACATACGACATACATATACACGTACACATACATATTACACATACATATACATATACACGTACACATACATATACACGCTACCACATACATCATACACATACATATACATATACACGCTACACATACAATACACGTACATACTACAGTTATACACGGTACACATACACATACACGTACACGATACATATACACGTACACATACATATACGCGCTTACATATAACATATACATATACACATACTATATACACGCTACACATACACTTATACACCTGTACACCAATACATTATACACGTTACACTATAATTACACATACACATACATATACACGCTACACCATACCATTACACGCTTACACATACATTACACGCTACACATACACTATACATTATACACAGTACACATACATATACACGTACACATTACACATACACGCTACACATACACCATACACCTACACACATTACACATACATATACACGATTACACCTATACACGTTACACATACATATACACGTACACATACATATACACGTACATATACATATACACGTAACATTACACATACACATACACATACATATACGCGTACACGTATTACATTATACACTATACACATACATATACACCGCTACACATACATATACACGTACACGTACATGATACATCGTACACATACATGGAGTACAGCGCCTACACATACATAATCACGTACACATCACATCATACCACGTACAAATATACATATACACGTACACAATACACATACACATACACATACATCGTACACATACACATACACGCATACACATACACATACACATACACGCTACACATACACATACACGTACACAATACACATACACGCACACATACACATACATATACATGTACCATACATATACACGTACACATAATATACACATACATATATCACATACATATACAGTACACATACAATATACACGTACATATACATATACACGCTACACCTACAACATACACGTCAACACATACACATACATATACACGTACACATACAGTATACACGTACACATACATATACACGTACACAACACATACACGATACACATACACATACACGTACACAACACATACATATTACACGTACACATACACATTCACGGTACACATTACACATACACGTACACATACACATACATATCTACACGTACACATACATATACACGGTACACATTAAATACATATACACAACGTAATACACCCATACACTTACACGATACACATACATATACACATTACATGCTACACATTTACATATACAACATACATATACACGTACACATACATATTTACCACATACATATACACATAACATATACACGTACATATACACGGTACACATACACATACACTACACATACACATACACCGCTACACCATCACACATTACATATACATGTACACATTACATATACACGTACACATACATATTACACATACATTATACACATACATATACGACGTTACACATACATAATACACGTACATATACACATACACGTACAGCAACATATACACGTACACGTTACATATACACATACACGTACACATACAGTAACACGTTACACAATACATTATACACGTACACATACACATTACACATAACATACACATACACCGTACACAGTTACATATACACGTACACATACATATACACATTACACATACATATTACACGTACACATACAATATACAGCGTACAATACATAATACACTGTACACGATCATATACACGCTACACACTACACATACATATACACGCTTACACATACATATACACATACACATACCATATACACGTACAGTTACAGCGCCGTAGCTAGGGGCGGCGTTCGGGTGCCCGTCGAAAACGCAACCCCCCGAGCCCCCCCCCCCAGCAAATGAAATTTTTTTTTTTGAAAATTTGCAAGAATTTCACATCAAATTCAAGTAATAATTTCGCAAAATCTCCATCGTGCGGGAGGCGCGTAACAGGTGAACACCCCCCTACCACACCCATTCCCCCGCTCGGTCGCTTGGCTCCCTCGCTCTGGCTCGCTTTGCCCCAGCAGGGGGCGCTTGTACAGGGCGGGTCCAGGGAGGCCGCAACCCCCCTTGTCTCGCCGCAGAAACGCCATTCTGAGGGCGCGTCTTAATTTAAAAATTCTGGGCCGGAGTCCGGCCCCCAGACCCCCCTTCGCGTCCTTCGCCAACTTGGGTTTACGGTTTTAGACCCCACCCTCCCCCCATCGGGTACAAATCCCTACACGCCCCATGTCCGCAGCCAAATTGCCAACATTTGCAAAAACGAAACCCCCCCAATATAAAGCTGGCTACGGGCCTGTACATATACATTATACATATACATATACATGTACATATACATGGTACATATACATTACATGTACATGCTACAGCATACATGTTACACGTACATTCATACATATCCATGTAACATATACCGTACACATACGACATACATATACACTTACAATACATATACCACGTACCACATTACATATACACGCTACACATTACAGTACTACACGGTACACATACATATACACGTAACATACATATACACGTACACATAGATATACTGGTAATCATCCTCACTATTGGCCGTGCCGAACTCAACCACACATTTCGTTAGGCTGCCAACATTGCATATTTAATCTCTACTGCCCATCAACAGCGACATCTTACAAGTCCACCACAAAGCTGCGCTCGAGAACTTCGAACAGATCTCGCGACATCTTTCGAGCCGTTGTTCGAAGCGACCGAACGATCCCAAGTCTAAAAGTCGAGTACACATGCTTCCTGCCAATACTAGTAGTAGCAGCGTTGTGTCGGCCCTCCTTTGAGAGGAGAGTTTTTGAAGACCCAGAGGGCGGTAGCGGAGATGAGAGAGAGATGATGACAGAGCAGACGAGCAGCAGGAGGCGAGGGGGAGAAGAGATTGACAGACGCGGTAGAGGCAGCAGAGGGCGGCGCAAGAGAGAGAGGGCGAAAGAAGAGACGACACAGAGGCCGACGGGGGAGAGAAGACGAGAGAAGAGCAAGAGAGAGAGAGAGGGAGATGGAAGTGAGAGAGAGAGGAGAGGTGAGCAGTGAGAGAGGGAGAAAGGGTGAGAAGCGGAGAGAAGAGATAGATGCAGACGAGAGAGATGAGCGAGACTGCGACGAACGCAGAGTGCAGAGGGCTGCCACTTTCCTTAGGAGCGACAACGCGGCCGCCGCCCCTTAGCCCGCACGAAGAAGTGGGGGAGCCGAATTCGGGTGTGGCAGAGAGAGTACCGAGTGCAAAGCGACGGGGTAAAGGCCAGATAGGCATGTATGAGAGGAGAGGGGAGAGAAGCCAGAGGCGAGAACAGCTCTCTTAA